AGCTATATATAGTACAAAGTTAAACAAGAGTTGCTCATGAATTACATAACAACAGAAATAGTTAGGAAGATCACAGACTGACGAAAGTGTTGCGCAAGAACAGAAAGAGTTGGGAAAATACACTACGGAAGGAAACGAAAACGAAAGAATGAAGCAAGAGTTGCGCAATAACAGAATTGCGCAAGAATGGTACAAGAGCAGAATGGAGAGAGAATGAACCTTATGAGCTGCCGGGGAAGGCAGATCATAACAGTGTGAGTTTTTGAAAGAAGGCCAAACTCAACATGACCAGCCTCAAGAAAAGTTTTTAGCTTTGGCTTCAACCACTTTTTGTTGCTGCCATTTGCTAATCAAGTGACTATAATGCTGCCGTTGGTACCACTACTGGGCTTGTTACTTCTTCATACTTTGTTCCAATTTTAATCGACACTTCAAAGGGAAATGACTGTGCTTTTCCTTATGCCTCCTGCAGATTAAGCCCCCATGACCGATAGCCTTTTACATTTCTATCTAGTGCCACCTTCGCTATCGCTGGTTTAGAAAGAGTAAAAAGATAAAGTGTTCGAGAAGTTATAAAGTTATATATAACCGATTTACAAGCTACAAAAGAAGCGAACCAATATTCTCGAAAAGAACAAAAGGATTTTATTCTACCTTACAAAAGCACGTAAGAAGAAAATACTCCCACCTGATGGGTGGCATTTCATGTATTTCTATTCTCATTTTAGTGGCATAACGGTTTATAGTGCACACTAGCTGTTCTTTTTGCTGCTTCCTACTATCATTTAATAATAAAAAAGAAGAGTAGCTTTCATATTTATAATAAGTTATCATACCAACTCTCTTTTGGGTTTACAATTGAAATAGATAATTTTCAAATGAAGAGAGAGAATATATATTTAAAAAAACAGCAGCATATTACTCTTGCACTGTATGCTAATTGCCCACGCAAGATTGCAGTATGCAGCTAACTTCGCGTTAGTTACCAGAGTAAATACCTGCCTCACCATTAAACAGATTTTGAAATGTGAACACTCTCTTAGTGTAAAACGCAATATAATAGGGATGTTACAAATAGCGTGAATGAGTGAATGCCTGTGACTGCCGTATGCGAAAGAGAACAGAGAAATATCTGCCGAGTATATCTATAACAGAAAAAATCTATAATATAAACTTACATCAAAAAGAAAGAGAACATCCCAATATTACGTGATTGGTAAGAGAAACAGAACGAAAAAAATGAAATGTGACTATATATGAATAAAGTGTGTTCACGTTATGATCATAAAGTGAACACACTTTATTCACTTTGTTCACATATATGACACACAGTGACTGATAGATGAATCGTAGAAAGACAAAAAGAGGTGAAATATACTTCAGATAAAATCGATATACAAAGGCACTTCATAGCTATAATGAATACCCATAGTTTAAGAGATCAACCAGCCTTGATTGTATAAGGTTGTATATTGCAAGAATATTTTATCTGAAGTGTGTCTATACTCTTACGAGTGCTTCTTCATACTTGGCAGTAAACTAATTTAATTCTTTTCAATTTTCTTGTAATACTTCCTATGTCCAAGTTTACTGGTAAGTTCTGTTTATTTTCATCATAGGTTGTTAGAAGTAATTTATATAGTTTACATGTAGAAAAATATTTACATAAAAATCAGTCATATTGCTGTTACATAAAAGTCATTACAACGTTTGTTTGCCAAGGACGCTGCACATAAACTAATTTGTTTATAAAAATTCAGATTAAATTTTTCATGACGATAATTGTTCGACAGCACTTTGTACAACTTGAACTCATGTGTGACGTGCTCAACATAAACACGATAACTTGCTAACGTTTGATTATATAATAAACGTTGAAATTCGGTAATGCCAGAGCGTTGTAATTTGTTTTTTCGATAAGGTGTGATAGTTGATGGTTTGTTTGCAAATCCTGTGTCGCCCAAGATAAATGTGTGCGATGGAACTGGATTGTTCATTCTAAATTGAAGGCTGTTAAATATTTTTGAATCATGATACGATCCAAAAAAACCACTTTGGATTAATATTAATTTTCTATCATTGCCAATAATATAAATACTTCCCAGACAATGATATTTTGTTTTACCACTGTAATATATGCGTTGACGTTTACCTAGAGTAAATAAAAAAATTAACTCGAATATTTTTTTTGCAGACCTCAAATAAATCTTATCTGGTCGTTGTATACGATGACGAATACCATCAATTGAGCCAATAAAAGAGCCAATAGCTGGATGTCTGCAGAGTTGCTGTTCTAGTTCATTTATTGATGGCCATTTTATTTCGGTTCTGAGAGCTTCAGCCAGATCAGGTACAAAACGATGAATATAACGACAAATTTGAGTACGATTAACACCAAATAGTAAACATAGTTGAGGATAAGTTGGATAACATCGAAGCCAATGAGTCAACAAGAAGAGAAGATTTCGATCGATTAATCTAATATGAACACGAGCTTTCGTTGATTGTAAACGTTGAGTAGCCACATGTTGAAATTGACGATAGACTTCTTCAAATGTTGTTGGTGTTAAACCTGTTAAATAAACAAAATTATTTGGAGTTGCTATAGCATCAGCATAAACGTTTCTCATCTTTTTTTGAAATTTATCCTTCGAAAACAAGTTTCTAAATCGAGGAAAAGTTTTAATTGATGATAACGTTTTTCGCGATTTTTCTAACACTTCCAAACACTCATTTGTTATTGATATTATTGGTGTTAATCGAATTTGCTCAATTTCAGCTAATTTTTTAATTAGCACGGTTAAATTGTTCAAAACATTGATAATTTCTTCATATATTAGTTGTAAAATAGATAATATCCGTCGAACTGAATGTGGCTACGGTTGCATAATAGCGGTATTAATTGATTTCAGGAAAATTGATAAATAATAAATACTGGTGTAGTAATTGTCTAAAATTAGATAGTTTTATCACATGATTCCCCAGTATACGTACATATATACATATCCAAATGCATATACAGTAATGGATATAAGTATCCATTTCTGCACCTCTTAAGCTATCCAAAGATTCTCTTTTGGAACGGATCCATAAGTCCCAAAAAAAAACCCACTTGATATGCTGATCTTATCTATTAGTTTAAACCTCCTGTGTTAGATTTTACTAGCTATACAATAGTATCTACATCAGCAACATATATATACAAGGTTAAAGAGAAAACAGGTTCGCTTTTGCTCTCTTTTAGATAATAAATATATCACAAATATTTAACATAATAATTCCATTTACACAATCAGTTTCAGAAAAGGCAACTTGTTTGTTTATTTATCATGACTCAATTACGACAAATGAAAATTCCATTTACAAATGAAGAAAAAATTTTAATTCAACGTTTTTACCTTCAATTTGGTTCGAAAAGTTCAGGTAAAATAGCCCGTGAAATGACAAACAATCCACAGGTTCCGGCAGCAATTCAACAGATGTATGAAATTATGGGGCTAACAAAGTCAGCAAAAAGAATTTATGGTCATCTAACGCGAGAAACGAAAAAGTAACCAAAAGTTGTCTTTGAGTCTTTCTGTGCGTCACTTTAATTCCAGGGCTATTGTGTTTTCCTGTTAGCCTCTACCTTTAGTGGCGTTCCATGCTTTCGAATTGTGTTTAAATTAGGAGAATGCTTGTTTCTGCATTTTTTTTCAAAAGAATACATTATTAAGAAAATAAATAATGTTAGATTTTTATTAATACGCTTTTCTTTTTCTCTATTTGTAGAGCTGCCGTGGTAAAGCTCGCTCAACACATGCCACTAACGGATCCAACTCAATATTTTCCTCATCAACAGCAAAAGACACCAACGTCGCAACAACAACCACCACAAAGGCAAGCTACGCAACAAGTTAGTCGATTCCATCAAGCAAAGGATCAAAATGATGATGAAAATTGGGTAGATGAAGAAGAAGCAATCGATATTAATGAAGATGATAGAGTTTTCCATGAGACACCGTCACTATCTGATCCAATCCAACGACTTAATTCCTTAACAGTGGTGGCACCAGCAGCACTACCAGCTCCTACTCAACAACAACTAGGTACGGACGATGATAATCAATCTCCGATATTTCAAGGACTTGGTCAAAGATTGAGGTCACCAACACCACGCGATATACCTCTAATACCAACAGCTCTTTCGTCACATCGAAACAGTGTTTTTAGTCTACCCGAATCATTTATGCCAACACCTCAACGACGAACAACGCCACCAACTAACACACAACTCATATCTCAACCACCACCACTGACAAGTCAAACGAGAACCAAAACAACAAGAGAACGGAGACAACAACGTCGACACTCTGCTGTTACTCCACCACCCCAAGATGAGACAGATCGTGAAGATGAAGAAAATCAATCACCCTCACCACGCCGAACATTAAGTACATATTTAATTGAAGCCGCAATAGCCAACAGAGATGCTGCTGTAAAATAGTGAAAAAAACTGACTTGAGTAAAAACATGTTCATTTTCTATTTTAATACAATACTTTTTAGACCGAGTAATAGTTTCAAGTTGATGTACTGATTGTGGTGTGCGATATTCCAGAAAGTAGAGTTATTACCACAATTTCTTTTACATGTAATTTGTTTTAGACATAAGCATGTACATGTAGGACAACCGTTATCGTCTAATATATAGCCATTATCACAGTTTTGTACACAGTTCAATAGTGGACATTCAGTG